GCTTCCTCTTCCCCGGGAGGGCAGGCAATTTCCTCTGGCCTTTGTTGCCTCTTTGGAAGCCGAGATAGCCACAGGCAGGAGATTTGCAGGAGGCATGGACGGTGGGAAGGAAGATGTCCCCAGGAAGGAGGGGGAGTGGGAGGGAAGGCAGAGGGATGTGCCCTGCGCTGTTGCTATCTGGACACGCATGTTTCCTCCTCCCCAGCTTCTGCAGACGGTTACAGGGAGGAAGTAACTTGTGGGGTGTAATTATCCATCTCACAGCAGAAACCAGGCTGATAAGAATCCCTGCGACCCCTTTGAAGTCCTGTCCCCGTCCCATTCTCAGGCTGGTGACAAGGGAGGCAAAGCCAGCGCTGAATGGCAGGGGACAGGGTAGAAAATCCTGCTGACTTACCTCTCTCTTGCAACAGGGCAGAGCAGGAGAACCTGGGAAGCCTGGCAGAGATGGAAAGGTGAGTACCAGAAACAAGCTCCGTTCCTGGGAGCTGCGGGAGGAAACGCGGCACGCTGACCCTGCAGCAACCGCAGTGGGATGGGTGTTCCCATCCCCGAGAGTTCTCAGGGCCTGGATTGCTATAAGCAGGCAACGCCAAGGCACCAGAGCCTGTCGAGGGTTTTCTCCCTCCGTCTGCTCACATCAGGAAGGCAGCTCCTGTAGGGGTATTTTGTTTGTTTATATTTACATACACACATATCCGGCATACTTCATGGTTCACGGCAGGTAAATTGGCTATTTAAAAACACAAGTGGTGTGTTTGTTAATATATTCTCTCTGTTTAGTTTGTCAGGGGAAGCTGCGAACGCCTGATTTACTCCAGGGCTGCACACTGGGCTGGGAACAAGTTTCCCAAGCAAAGCCAGAGAAGCAAAAAAAATTTCTGGAGCACAGTGCATAAGGCAAAGCAGCTTTTTGGCCTTCAGATTCAATGAGACCAGGCCTGGGAGGAGGGTGGAGCGCTATGGGCATGAATTTATTCGGGAGCGTGGATTAAGATAATACTCACCTACATGAAGAACGAATCGGGGGTGTTTGGGCTTAGCAGTGCCGGTCATCTCTGCGAAGGGGCGTTCAACCCAAAGCGGTCAGCGTCTCCCATCACCCTGCAGTCCGTGTTACCTACATCTGCCGACTCCAGTGTCTGTCTGATTTTATCCACAGGGCTTACCTGGACCTCCTGGACCGAAGGTGAGAAGTCCGGCTGCGCTTAGAGGGAGCAGGGGGATAAACAGAGAGGCAGATGCTCCGGGCAAGGAGAGACATGTACATTTTTAACGAGCGGAGGAGGGGGAAAGGAGTTTACATCAAATAAATGGCTGAAAAAGGTTTCTAGCCCAGCTCAGTATTGCCTCTGGGCCCCGGTCCCTGTGCTGACTCATGGGTTTTGCCCAGGCGACACGTCTGAGCTGCATCTTGACTGAGCAAGGCACGCCGCATCAGCCCCTCTTGCAAAATTCTTTGCCACACACAGCTATATTGGCTTCTTCCACTCTCAAAGCGTTTACCAGCGCTTCAGGAACCGATTTTGCAATGCTATTGTCAACTCCACCACAGTTTCCCATTTATTCGCTTGCCAAAATGCGAGTGTGTGTGTGTGGGGGGGCTGGTGGTTGTTGTCGTTTTTCAGCTGCAACCACCCACCCCACTTTGTTTTTTGTTTGAAGATATTTAGCCAGGGTGAGGAGATAGGGCCCGCGGAGCCGGGGCAGAGCTGGCATGGGTTATCCAGCTGTCAGTGCTTATTGTGCCTTTCCTGCCAGGGCTCAGTCCAAGCGCAGGTAACGGTGACCCAGGGGTCTGAAGGGTGGGAGTCACGCTGAGCAAAAGGGGAATTTTCCCCACAGGGTGCCCTTTCATCCCAGCATCTCCCCAGGGAAAAGGGCTGGATTTCGTCCTTCTCAGACCAGGTCTCACTTTGTTTTGTCTTTTTGCCTTTTGCAGGGAGACCCTGGGATTCAGGGATACCCTGGCAGAAAGGTAAGAAGGGGAGATCCAATATTGCTAACTGAATTAAGCTGCAGGGATGCCTTGTGGGATCATGGCTGCAAATCTGTGGACCCCTCTGGAGCTCTCCACTGAGCTCTGCTCCCACTGGGCAGGGATGGGGGGCAGGAGGGGGGCTGCAACAGGCCCACAGATTCCCTGTGTCACGTCACCTGTGCAAGGGGAGGCTGGACCCGGAGTACCTCTAACTCTCAGGTAGCTGTGGTATGGATGTCTGCGTGCCTCTCTACACCCACTTCCAGCCCAAAATTGTGCCTTCAGTGCAAACAGGAGGCTGGGAAGGGCCAAATCCCTGGCTATGTATTGCTCTGTGGAATAAAGCAGGAAAAAATCGATGCTGCTCCAGGTTAAAAGGCAGAAGCTGGCAATGCCCGAATGTCTTCCGCAGCAGCTAATTAACAGCAGGGTTGTCAACCCAGAGGATGTGATGAAGAGACAGACGGAGAGATGGGGAAGGACACAAAGGAAGATCAAAGGGGAGAGAGGGAATGAGGAGATATTGCTAAAGGGATGTCAGCTGGAGAAGGGGAAGGCGAATATTCCCAGCAGGCAGGAGCCCGGTGTCCCGTGTTATCTCCATGTTGCTTTATGGGTGCTCTCTGAGCAAAATGCCAAGACCTGAGAGCTTTTTAATTAGTTCTGTATAAACTGAGAAGTTTTTGTAATGTCAGGAAGTGGAAATTATAGCCCCCACGGACCACAGCCCACTCCGGCAGACAGACGCAATTTATTGCCTCCTCTTCCAGTGAACCCTCCGTCTTTCCGTTAAGAGCCCACCCTGTTCCGTGTGCACTGGGCGGGCGGCTCTCTGCAGGCAGGGGCGGTCAGGGGGTCCATGCAACCACCTCGCAGCGAGGCCTCTCCTACGGGCTCCTCTCCTGTGAAACAACTGGTCTGGCTAATTTACTTACCGAGCAAAGAGCCTGCACTGATCTCGGAGGAATGAGCCCGAGCTTGTGGCCTTTCTCTGGGAAAGGTGGAAGGAATGGATAAAAGTCG